GGCCATCTGCCCACATGATCGGCTTCTATGTGCCAGGCATAGCTGAGTGCTACTTCTTGACTGAGAGTGATCTGAAGAAGGATGCGTCGACCAACTTGACATGTCTGAGCCGTGGCATTTTCTTGGTGAAGGAGGTCCTCGCGGCCCGCGGTTTGCCGCTCCCAGAGAACTTAATCATACAGGCGGACAATACGAGTCGCGAGACTCGCAATTCCACGGGGCTCCAATATGCGGCATGGTTGGCGGGGCAACAAGCATTCAGAAACGTGGATGTGTTGTTTTACCGTGTCGGTCATACACACAATGAGTTGGACCAACGGTTCTCCATAGCCGCGTCCCTACTCTCTCGTGCTCCCGTCCTGCAGTCGATCCAGGACAGTCTTTGGATTTGGGGTGGAGGGCTCTGCTCTCTCCATAATTTCATGAACGATAAAATATGTGGTTGTTGCATGCTGAGCTGAGTTTGTGGACACATGCAGGAATTCCAACAGCACCTGCTCAAGATGCAGCCAGCAGGAGGCCGAGAACTGCGTGTGGAAATCGTGGACGCCAGCTGGGACTGGAAGGCCTTCTTCGAGACATCGAGAATGCTTTTCAAAGGCATCACTATCACCGAGCAGCAGGAGGAGGTGGTTCAGGCATTTCGATTCTGCAAGCGGATGGGTCTCGAACAGTATGAGGGGAGCGCAATCAGGCAGAATTCATTCTGATCTTCTATTGAATCAGCCCCGCGTTCAAGTATTCTAAATATCCAATTAATAAGGGTTTAAGTTGACATGTGTGCGCTGAGGACCGCTGGCCGGTGATTGAGCTTCGTCAAGATGAGGCAGGACCTTCTAATGCTGACCAGTCCCAAACTTAAAGCCCCAATGACCCTGAAATCATTCGTTGCCATTGTAAGAGCTGCTCCCAGCTCTCAGTCGCAGTCTCAGTCTGCCTTGCAAGGCCGAGAGGAGCCCAGATGACGTCGTTATGTTGATGAAGCAGCACATGTCTGACCAATGCCTCTGCCAACAGCCACAGGTCGTGCTGAGCCACGATCGCATTCCAGGACTGCCGCTGACTGGGCCATCGGAGATCATGCCACGCAACAAGTTGGGGGATGATCTCATTTCAGAGTTCCAAAAAACAGCATCACACGTGGAGCAGAGACCATGGGCCATGACTCGTGCAGCAGAGTATTTGCGGGACTTCTGCAGGCGAAACCAAGGCGGTGAGCAGGCTCAGGGATCGCCTCCCTATTTCGCCTTCGGTGAGATTGCTGAGCGGCCATCTCCGACTTTCGTTGCCCTCCCTGAAGGCTACAAAGAGTTTGCCAGCGGCCCCCCAAAGTTGGTGCATGTGGTGGAGCGGCCTCCTCCAAGGGCCAAGGGTAAGGCTAAAGCAAAGGCTAAGGGAGCTGCTGCAAAAGCTAAGGGAGCCGCTGCAAAGGCAGTTCCGAAAGCCAGTCCCAAAGCAAGTGCTGCAAAGGCAGCTCCGAAAGCCAGTCCCAATGCAAGTGTTGCAAAGGCAGCTCCGAAAGCCAGTCCCAATGCAAGTGTTGCAAAGGCAGCTCCGAAAGCCAGCCCGAAAGCAGTTGCTGCGCCGAATGCTGCAGCCCCGAAAGCCTGGGCCAGTCCCAAGGCAGTCGCTGCAAAGGCAGTCCCGAAAGCCAGTCCCAAGGCAGTCGCTGCAAAGGCAGTCCCCAAAGGCAAGGCAGCTGCTGCAAAGGCAGTCCCGAAAGCCCACCCGGCAGCCCCCAAGCGCAGGGCAAACGGTCCTGACACTTGGCTGAGAAAGTCCGAATGTTTTAAACTGTTTCCACAGTCTTGCTTATTGTGCTACAACGCCACATGTCATGATGCTGCTCAGGATGGCCCCGGATGCTCCAAATGCAGATGGCTGAGGAATGGCTGTGCGAGGTGCAGGTGATTCGGCATCTGACAGCACCGGCTGAATAAGTGAAGGTCACTGCTGCTTCAGCAGGGAGTGGGCAAGATAATCATTGATAATCATGATAGCATGATGGCATGATCCCAATGTTCTGGGTTCCCCCCTGCACCAGCCCACTTCTCGACTTGGCGACAGTGACGACTCTTAGCCTTGAAGGTTTTGGCTGGCCAATCCTGGCCACGAATCGTGATTTATTTTGCGGAGGGCTGTGCATCTAGGCTCGTGACAGCTGAATGTCAATGTTTGCAGAGTGCAGACCAGCTTCACAATTTGAAGTGAATCTAGGGAATCAGTCATGTGACACTCGGTAAGACAAGCAGACTCTCGGTGCCACCAGCGGCTGCCCAAAAATTCAGAAATGACTGGCATTCAATTCATTGTCTGCGCCCTACATGTGCTGATGTGAAACATGAGCTTGGCCCGGTGAACTTTCCGATTCAGTGTTTGGACCCTGTGCTCTGTTTATGTGGGCCGCTAGTACGATCGCGGCCATGCGCAACGAGTCCCAGGACTCTTAAGTTGTCAAGTTGCTTGACTCATTGTCGTCAGAATAAGAGTAGTAGTAGCAAGCATGGGTAGGTAGAAGTATATGCTCAGAGTAATAAGAAGCAGTACGTGTAGATTGCGATTTCGGGTCGGCCCAGCAGGACACCCAGGAATGGGGCTTGCCAGAGGACCAGGAGCAAATGCAGGACTAGTGCCCGTGAAGTGACAAAGAAGACAAACCAACCCCAGCATGGATCCTTCCCACATCAGGATGATGATGTGGACTACTGGGACACCATCATGGGGCCCCGAGATGATGAGGCACGTTCTTTCCTGCAAGATTGAAAAACAGGAAATGTTTCTATGTCCATCGTGATAAATTCTTGCTTCCTGAGCGCATGCTTGCAGGATGCTGGCCTCTGCACGATTTTGCCAGATGATGCTACAGAGGAATGTGTGGTTCCTGCTGCTCCATGAGTCGTAGGAAGACAAAATAGCAATTCATTGAGATCTGACAGGACAGCGATCCACTGCGGATGATGCTGCCCGAGCAAAAGGACCCACGCGGGAATTCCTGCGATGCTGTTGATGTTGGCATCGGGTCACCTCCAAACTTTCCTCGCAGGATCGGTCCATGCCCATCGATGACTGGGGGTTGCCACCTCCTGAGATTGAGGAGGAGGATTTCCTCCTGTCTGCTGAGGATGATGATATTGGGGCCTGGCCAGAACTTTGCGATGATATGACTATGCATGGCCCGGCAAACCTGCCGTTCCAACTTCCTGTGCCTACGGATGATGTAAGACGAAACCGCCAGCTTGTGCTTGAGGTTTTTTCGCTGCCACGCACCACAGCGAAAGCCAGAAGCATGGGTCATCGCGCAGATTATGCCTTCGATATCAGGTACAATGGTTGGGATGCTCTTGTGGCAAAGGACAGGGAGGCGGTAAAGAATTTCATTCTACATGTCCAGCCCTGTCTGGTTGTCTTCACTCCACCATGCACGATGTTTTCTTGCTTGATGAGGCCGGGCTGTTCTCAGTGCCCCAGCGATGTAAACAGTTCATAACTAACCCAAGTTTTGCAATCACACTGCATATCACCGTGATTATCAGGTTGTGGAACCAGAAGAAGATGGACCCGGCAGTGTTTCGTACGAGAATGAACGAGGCGGTGGTCATGTTTGAATATGCAGTCTCCATGTGTGTCACACTTCATCAGCGTGGCCTGAAATTCGTTCTTGAGCATCCCTGCACTGCCTCCTCTTGGCAGAATGCCAAGTTTCAAACGTTTCTCCATCAGTTGGGGAAAGGTTCATTGTTTTCTTTTGATCAGTGCTCTCTGGGTCTACGCAGTCCAGATGGCAGGAGCAAGTTAAGAAAGAGGACCCGATTCTTCTCAAATGCACATGTGATTAAGGAGGCATTCAGCAATTGCAAATGCACTTGCCATTGCTCAGAGCACATGAGAATTAGAGGGTTTCAGCAGGGTGTCCAGCTGTCCACACATGCTCAAGTCTGGCCAGACAGGCTATGCCAGAAATTGGTGGAAGCTGCCACACGCTTGTGAATGAAACAGAGACCAGCGATTGAGAGATGAAAAATAGTTGCAACTGCCAGAGACACGCCGGGCTGGGATCGCAAGACACACGACTAGTGGCAAATATTATTGTTCGCCGAAGACTTTGAGCATCTTTTCTTCAAGCTGAATCTCTTGTATGAGTGTCGGAGACCCCAAAAAGTTAAGCAACTCATGTTCTGATTTCGTGATATGGAGTTGCTTGAAAAAAAAATTTATGTTAAGCAACGCCCTGGCCGCGCAGAAGATTCTAAGCAACTAGGGTCCCGAAATTTAAGACTGGTGTTGCTTGGTTTTTGGGGCGCGGCCAGGGCGTTGCTTAACATAAATTTTTTTTTCAAGCAACTCCATATCACGAAATCAGAACATGAGTTGCTTAACTTTTGCAACGGCCCATTTCTATATTTGAAATCGGAGTTGCTTGAAATTTTGAGAATTGTGGCGGCAAGCGGTCGTGATGATAATCGTGTTGCTTTCTGAATCTTTCGTGGCTGCACGTTGAAGTGAATTTTCTGGTTGTGACAAGGACGATCAAGGATAGCTGCTAGTCTTGGTGCGAGCACGGGCCGGGGTCATGGCTGAGTCTCAGTCTGCTGCACCTGGCTCGCCAGGGCAGAGTGTGACGGATTCCGTGGCCACTGTTGGGTGGCAGGTCGAGCCCCGGGTGGACGTCGTTCACGAATCCTTCGCCAGCCAGATCTGTGAGAAGATGGGCCAAGTCAAGAAGGAGTATGGTGGGCCGGAGAATTATCTTCGCATGCGCTTTCAAAGCAGGCAGGATTACACGGACTGGCTGCAGTACCTTTCGCACCTGGTTCCACCGGACGCTGAATCGTACACATGGTCACGAAGCATTCCTGGGCATGCCTTTGACAGCCATGGACAGGCTCTGCTGAGGGGAACAATAATCTAATATTGCTCTGTCCGTGGGCTTGGGGCCAGTGAACCAGTCCTGACTCAAAGACTTAGTGTGCAGTTATTGCCTGGAGGCCACCCCGTTCCTGATGCATCCGGCCACATTCAGCTACTCACCTATGGCGTCGGTGAAGGGCCCAGCCGAGTGGGATGTGGTCGAAAAGCTTGTGGACGAAATTCTGAAAGATGGTTTCATCACATCGGGCGACCCGATCTTGCTGAATCTTTCAGAGGATTCTGATTCTGGGGCTGGGCTTTTCCCGGAGGCAGGAACTCATAGCAGTTGACAGATTATGTGCAATGCGGAATAATGCTCAAGTCTCCCGACTGTCTGGTGTGTCATTATGTCACTTTGCAGGATCCGATCCCTCCGTCGTGGCCGACCTCCATGGATAGCAGCGTGAAGCCGTTTACCGTGGGCTACTTCAAGGGCAAAACCCGGGTCCAAGTCCTGATGTGTCTGCTCAGTGTTGCTCGTGACTCGAGCCTCGACAACTACTCAGAGGCTGATTGAAACTAGCTTAGACGAGCGTCCTTGGAAGTTAATGATGTGCATTTTGTGGCAGGTTCACCCGAAGCTGCTGGAGACCATCAAGAAAATCCACTGCCGCAAGATTCTGCTTGCTTCCAAGCGGGAAGAAATGCTGTTCAATTTCAAGCTGTCCGTGCGCGGATCGATCAGAAAAGCCCCAAACATCATGCCCCTTGTCAGCCCCGATGTTGTTCGGTTCTTTCTGTGTTATGTGTTTGTGTGAATGACTCAATTCAGTCATCTTTCCTGCAGCCAAGTACATGGGTCACCACCATCAACAACCTGAAGGTGCACGAGCCAAACCTGGATGTTGCTGAGCTGGTTCCTTGCTCAGCAGTGGTTCTGTATTCCTGGTACCATGAACTTGTTGTTTTTAGCCTGCCACCTCTTGTCGGCCTGTCTCCTGCATCTGAGATTCGCCAGAACAATGCTGGCAACTCACGTGCCGGTCAGCTGCTGGGTACAAAGGCAGCTGCAGTCCGCTGCATCATGGAACAGTATGATGCCCAAGCAGTGACTGCGATCATCAACTATACCCTAGAAAATGGCCACGAAAGCACCCCGTGGTCAGATGACAGCCTGTCCTCCAAAAAGTGTCTGCCAGGGTACCAGTGTCTCGCCTTGACAGTCATGAGTGGCTGGCTTTGGAACATAATTCTAAGATATCCCAGCTTAGGCTTCAAGTTTGTCGTGTCAGGTTCAAATCGAACGCAGGACCTGTCTGGCAAGCTCGTGGCAAAGTCACAAAGGAGAGCAATCGTCTGATGGCAGCTTGGCATGCATACTACCTTACCTACCTACCTACCTACC